TGACTAAAGATTGCTTGAAATATTATTGCAGAGTGCCAAAAGTTGAAGAAGTTTTTCACAAGTTTTCGCACAGAGTTTGTCTGACAACTGATACATGGACAAGCATTCAGAACCTTAATTATATGTGCCTTACTGCGCATTTCATTGATGATCACTGGCAACTACAAAGAATTTTAAATTTCTGTCCAATCACTAGTCATAAAGGTATAATGATTGCAAGGCAGTTGAGAGATGTTTGCTTGATGGGGTATTTATAAGGTATTCACAATCACAGTAGATAATGCTAGTTCGAATTGTTGGGTAAGCTATCTGAAGACTAGACTAGCAAGTTGGAAGGGAAGTGTATTGGGCGGTGATTTTCTACACATGAGATGTTGTGCACATATTTGAGTTTAATTGTGAAAGAGGATAAAGGAAATGGATGACTCCATATTTAGAATACGTTCAGCATTGAAGTTATGTAAGGTCTTCTCCAGCAAGGTTACAGAGATTTAAGGCGTGTGGGAGAAAGAAAAAATTGCAAGTAAAGTCATTTGGTTCTTGATGTAGAAACCCGGTGGAACTCTACATACTTGATGTTGGAAGCGGCATTAAAATTTCAGAAAGCTTTTGAGTTGTTGGCATTGGAAGATAGCAAGTATTGCAGATGAACTTACTAGTGGTGATAGGTCTCGAGGTTTGCCTACAGTACTGATTGGGAGTATGCTCATTATTGTTACCGTTCTTGCAAGTATTTTACGATGCTACTCTACGTGTCTCTGGGTCTCTTTATTACGTAATGCATATATGCGAGAGATTTTTGGCGTTGGGTTGAAGATTTCATCATGGTGTAAAAGTTCTGATCTTGGCTTACAATATGGCTACACGGATGAAATGAAATTTATAAGTATTGGTCAAATGTTGATAATATCAACATTATGTTTTCATTGCGAGGTACTGGATCCTAGGCACAAATTGGATATGTGACTGGATTATTAATGAGGCCTATGATGTTGTTGTAGCTGACAAGTTGTGAAAAAAGTGAAAGAAACTTTGTTGTCTTATTTGAGCAATATAGTTTGCTTATAGTGGATGACATGAGCAGTCAAAAGAGAAATCTCAAGTCCCATTACATGGTGTGCAAATGTAAATGTTGCTATGAAGACTTCATAAGGTTTGTATAAGGAGAAAAGGCTCAAGAAAGCTTTCTAGAACGGAGTTGGATAAGTATTTAGCAATGATTGTAGGATGACAACGGCAACACTTTTGATATCTTGAATTGGTGGAAGACGAATTCAACAAATATGTTGTACTCTCTATGATAGCACAGATGTGTTGGCTATGCCTGTTTCAACGGTTGCATCTGAATCGGCTTTTAGTACAGGTCGTGTATTAGATCCATTTCGTAGCTCCCTTACTACTAAGCGGTAAGGACTCTTATCTGTACACAGGATTGGATTAGGAATACACGTGGTCCATTACCATTGAGGAAAGCATGGAGAATTATCTCGACTTGAGTCAGGTGACATTTTTTTAATTTTCAATTATAATTATATATTTTATTCATTATTATGATTCTAGCAATTTGTTTGTCCAACTTTGTGCAAGGTATTCTCTTCGGGGTGGAAAGTAGTATAACCCTCTTGATGATTGAAGGGTATTCCAAATTTCCAATTATGAGGTATATTATCATTAAAGTTATCACACATGTTTTATTTTAAATTTTTGGAGAGTTGCTAACTATAAGCTTATTATGAATTTTGCTATTGAGTAATTGAATTATACATTAGTTGCTATTTTTAGTTTTTATCTTTAAATTTTATTTTTGTATGTGAAATTTTGTGTTTCTTTGTTTCCGTTGCTTTAAGGTAGTTTATGGGTTTATTAGAATCATTGTTGGTGATTTCTTTATTTATTTTGGTTTTGTTTGTGGAGTATGGAGTGTTAAGTGTATTTGGATGGAGTGCATGAAAGCGTTTGTTTGGTTTTGTTTGTGGAGTATTGGAGTGTTATGAGTGTTATGATTTTAGACTTTCGGTGGAACATTTTGGATGGTTAAATGTTCATATGTTTTATTATTTCATTTATAGCTGTTAATTGCAGATGATGATCTTCTTCGTGTGCCATTAACAAATCCGGGGAGTGCGGAATCAAGAAACTTCATTAACACCAACATTGTGGGATGCAGCTATTTATGTTATATTAAGTTTTTTTACTTTGTAATTTTATGTTATGTATTTGAGTTTATTAATGAATATTGACTATTCAATGATGTGTAATTGAATTCTTTATGTTTTTATTTCATATTCTGGATTTAGTATCTGCAAATAAGTAATTTAATATGTTAATGTATTTTTCATACAAAGAATACAAAATAAAAGAGAAACATAATATGACATTATATATAAAATAATAAATATTTAAATTTAGGGGCTTGAATAAAACATTGAAGAATTTTATGGATTAAAAGTTAATTTGAAAACCGGTTAACCGGAAACCGAACCGAAAATTCGGTTCGGTTTATATTCGGTTTTTAACCGAAACCGGTCCGGTTTTCGGTTTGGATTTTCTCCAAAACCGAAAACCGGTTCGGTTTTCGGTTTGGATAAACCGGTTCGGTTAACCGGTTTATCCCACCCCTAATATACCTAATCTAGTCTTCTCAATAAGAAGAGCTTTAGTCTTCTTAAGACTTTCTAGATGGAGAGGACAATTCCTCTTCCAGTGCCCATTTTCTTTGCACCAAAAGCATTGGCCATTTTCTTTAGATTTATTGGCTTGAGGTGCAGCCTTTTTCTTAAACCCCTTTCCCTTGGGTTTTGTCCCAATTTTTTTTGGAATTTCATTGGCTTTTTCTTATTTGTCTTACTAGAAGAAGTCATACTAACAACCTCCTACCTTTTGCCTTTTCTTTCCTGATTATAAAACTGTTGAATCTCATTCAACAAATTAGGAAGTTTTCTCTCAATCCTATTGAGATGATAATTATTGATGAAAGGTGAATGTTAATCATTTTCATGACATGTTCTTCTGGTGACACACCCTCTTTCAACTTCATTCCGAATAAAATTGAACTCAATTCATATTACCTTATCCTCGAATTCTCACGATACAACTCTTGTAACGTAAGGTAAATTTCATTAGCACTTTTCATCTTTTCACACTTTCTTTGGAGTTCGTCACTCATCGATGCCATCATATAAGAGCGAGCTCTAAGTTCATCTTCCTTCCATTTTTTATATTTGTTATGCTCATCAAATGGAGCATCAGAATGAGGAGGTTCAAGCAGGGGCGTTTCTAAAATGTAGATTGCGTTTTTTGAATTTAATATTATTGTCAATTTCCTCAACCAATCATTGAAATCACTACAGCCAACGAACTTGTTATTCTCATCCAGGATTTTCAACAGTAGATTATTCATCTCTTACAGTTTTATATTTTATGAGAGATGCTGCAAGAAAATTAAAAAAAAAATTATGAGTGTTTTGTCACATATATCTTTTATTAATCTAATCTAATTAGCTCCCGCTATTTTATTCACATCTTATATTTCCTTGGATGAAGATTCAGAAATTTCGTTGGATTAAAATTTTTAGTCGGGAATCAAATTCTTATCAAATTTAATAAACCTCACATAATAGAAATCTTGGTCCATTGAATTCAATGAGTAGGAAACTATTTCCTTTTATATCACCATATAAGCCATGATTCATTTCCTTGCCTCTAGTTTCGGATACCTCACATAATAGAAATCTTGGTACCCTAGACTAGTTAAATCTGACCTATTATGCATTCTTAAAATAGAATTCCTATTATACCCTCACATAATAGAAATCTTGGGTATAATGAAAATTTCTATCCAAGAACTAAGACAATCAATTCTGTGTAATAAAATTGCATCCCTCACATAATAGAAATCTTGGGATCTCTAATTCTATGGCAAATAATTAATTGACTCATAATGGAAGGCTTAGACTTAATATTTTAATTAGAGAAGATTTAAAGATTAGGTTTTGTTTTAGCTTAATGTTTTAATATCTACCCTATACATATCCACCATATGTATCAGCTAAATATAAAACATAAACCCCAAACTACAAACCTAAAACTAAATGTCATGCCATAAAATTAAGTTTCAACACTTCATATAAATATTAAAACTTAACTATAAACAATGGCATAATTAATATGCATTAAACATACAAGCATACTACATGCTTCAATACGGCATCACGTGTTATCAAACATAACAAATATGCATTATGTTAATATAACACACATATATCCCATATATCAATTATATTTAATAAATTGCCCATAAATAATCATTAATTAAAAAACAATTTATTAAACTTTAGGGCATGTTAGTAAGAGTTAGCAAAGTTAGTCATGTAGAAGTTCAGCTTAACCCACTGTGTTAGTTAGTTATTGAACCTAAGTTAGTTAACTACTATGTTAGTTAGTTACTGTTATGAGCACCATAAAAAGTGCACTTACTGTACAAACAGTAGAAAAAAAGTAAATACACGAATTTCCCAAAACTCTTTCTCCTTCTTTCTCTCTGTTTCTTTTTTTGTTTCTTCTCTAAACTCTCATGGTATCAGAGCTATCGACTAACGTCAAAGATGGCTGATCTTACTCAATTCTCTCTCAATCAAAATAGCTCAGATATTAAATTGACCACTGAGCTCGTTAATTCTACAAACACCTCATCAATGTCCTCTTCTTCTCTTCTTGTAATTTCCCCCAAATTAACTAGGGATAATTACAGGTTCTAGAAATCATAAGTTTTATTTGCTGTGGGCTCCCATGACTTAGAGGAGCATCTTACTGGACTGATTTCATGTCTAGTGCCGTTTGTGAAATTTCCAATTGCAGGCATTAAGGGATCGACAAAGAAGAAGCTTAATCTAGCGTATAATCAATGGAAGAAGATAGACAAGCTACTTGTAAGTTGGATTCTTGGATCTATTTTAGAATCTATGTTCTCAGTAGTGTCTAAGTGTCAATTTTCTACTGATATGTGGATTGCACTTGAAAAAGAATTTCTTACAGAATCTAGAACTAAAACTGTGCACATTAAGAGTTTGCTGCAAAACACTAAGAAAGATAATCTTAGTATCCATGAATATTTTGTAAAGATGAAAGGATTTGCTGAAATATTGTTAGCTAGTGGAATTCTAATCTCTGATGAAGAACTAATGAACTACATTTTTTATGGTTTAAGTTCTGAATATGATGCCGCTATAGTAAATATTGCTACAAGATTGGAGTCTAGGATAGATCCTATCTATGTTCAGGAAGCACAAATTATTTTGCAAAAATATGAGTTGAGGTTGGAAAGAGCAAATCTAGTTGCAAATTCAGTTGTCAACACTGAGTTTCATGGAGGTTCAATTCATCTTGCTAATCTCACTACTGATACAACTCAAACAAAATATCAGAGTGAACATTCCTTGCTTAATATGGGACAACATCAGTTTTCACCCATATAGAACCCTAATCTCTTCTCCCAAAATTTTGCTCCTCATCAATCTGGTACTAGTCTAAATCAGTTTATGAATGCAACACCACAGAACCACTTTTATTCCTCACAATTCACTAGTGTCAGAGGAAGAGGTAGAGGAGTTGGAAGAGGCAGGATTATATGTCAAGTTTGTGGAAAGAGTGGACACCTTGCATTGAATTGTTATCATCGGTTTGACATAAGCTACATTGGAGGAAATAACTCAGTAGTCAGACCACCAAATTTCAATAACAATTACTCCAGAACTCAAGCTGGGTTTCAAAACCGACCGTACTTCACTCAGAATTCACCTCAACCTCCTTATCACCCCAACATAAGTCACCAACCAACTGGATTTCCACCATTATCCTATCCATCAACTGGTTTTCCATCAGGACCTAGTCAAAGTTCGGCCAATCACACACAAATTTTGGCCCTTAATCAGCCACAACTACTGCTCCTAATCAAGTTTATCTGTCCCAGACTCAGCCATTACATTACTCTAATCATGTTGCCAACTACATTATTGCACTTTCTACTATCTAGGATGCAGCTTGGTACATGGATTTTGGAGCCATAGATCATGTGACTTTAGACCTGTCTCAACTTGCAGTAGACTCAAGCTACACTGGAAATGAGCAAATTCAAGTTGGAAATGGTGAGTTACTCTCTATATCACATACTGGTTTTACTTCATTACCATGTCAATCTAGGTCTCTTTACCTTAAGCATGTTTTATGTGTTCCTCACATTAGGAAACATCTCTTAAGTATGTCAAAATTTACTAAAGATAATGGAGTTATTGTTGAGTTTTCTGCTGATCACTGTATTGTTAAGGACAAACAGTCCCAAGCTGTTCTTCTTCAAGGAAAGCTTAAAGATGGTCTTTACCAACTCCAAATTCCAGCCATTCCCTTTGTCTCCAAGTCCAATCTGTCTGCAAATCACTACAATTCCAATCTGCCTGTAGATCACTCAATCTGTCCAATTTCAGTCCCTAACTCGTTAGTTGGAGCTCTTGCTCAGTCTCAGTCCTCACAAACTTTGTTTTCTGCATTTCCTGTTGTTCATACTACTAGTGATGTTAATAAAGAGTGTGAACTTACAAGTTCAAATAATGTTGTTGTTAATGATTGTTCTCCTGCATTTGTACCTATTTGTGACAACAATGCTAAGCCTGTACCTGTATCATCATGTAATAATGATACTGAACCTAATAAAGATATGATTCAATCATTTTCTACTGCAGAAACTAATGGTCTGTTATGGCATAAACGCTTAGGTCATCCTAATGCCACAGTTCTTGCAAAAATTTTGCACTCTTTGAACCTAAAACATACAGTTGCAAGCACTCTTGATTTCTGCATAGCTTGCCAATTTGGAAAACTTCACCAGTCTACTTTTCCTAGGTCCAATTCTAGAGCATCTAAACCTTTAGAACTAGTACACTCTGATTTGTGTGGACCATTACTTGTACCTTCACCTGAAGGCTTTAAATATTACATTCAATTTTTAGATGACTATAGCAGGTTAACTTGGATTTTTCCTTTGAAAGTTAAGTCTGAAACACAACTACTGTTTAAACAATTTCACAAACTAGTTGAAAGACAGTTTAGTACAACTCTAAAATGTGTTCAAACTAACTGGAGAGGTGAATATAGAAGTTTAGTTTCCTATTTTCTTAATCATGGTATTACCTTTAGGCATCCGTGTCCCTATACTCACCAACAAAATGGCCGCGTGGAAAGAAAACATCAACAAATTGTAGAATAAGGCCTAACACTCCTTGCTCAAGCTAGTATGCCCCTAAAATATTGGTGATTTGCTTTCCAAACTGTTGTCTATCTTACAAATAGGCTACCCACTCCTGTTCTGTCTAATCTGTCACCTTTTCAGGTTTTATTTGATCAGCCTCCAAACTACTTAGGGATTAGAACCTTTGGCTGTGCTGTTTTTCCATTTATTAGACCTTATAACTCTCATAAGTTTGCATTTCATACTACTAAATGCACTTTCGTTGGGTATAGCATGCATCACAAAGGGTACAAATGCATGGATTCCAATGGTAAAATTTACATCTGTCAAAGTGTCAGTTTTGATGAATCTAATTTTCCTTTTGCCTCATCTACTAGTCTAACACCTAAAAACATTGTCTCTTCTTCTTTTCCACTCTACAACAACCATTCCTTTAAACTATTCTCATCTTCTTCACATTCTTTACATACAAATAGTGACACTTGTCTAACTTCTTCATTACCTCATACAACTGGTCAGAATTCATTACCTCATGCAACTGGTCAAAACACTTCACCACCTACTGGTTCTGACACTCTTATTTCCTCATCAAATATTGAACCTGAAATTTCTGCTTCATTACATGTTCCTCTCACAGTGGGTCAACAAAACTCATCAGTAACTCTGTGTCCTTCATTAGACTTGGCAGATCAACCATTTGAGCCTTCCATTTCTTCAAAAGCTGATTTAGCTTTAGGCAACTAGTAGGCTTATCTAGGCAACCAGTAGGCTTAGTAGATCACTTTAATTCTGTAGTTGAACTACCCTTTACAACTCAGATTTCAAACACTGCAACTCAGCCTTTACACACTCTTACTCAGCATTTAAACACTTACCCTATGATCACTATATTTAAAGCCAAACTTCATAGCTCTATGTTAGTTTCTTCCACAGGTTCCCTTTTCTCATCTTGACACAAATGAACCAGTAAGTGTAACTGAGGCACTCTCTCATCTAGCCTGGAAATCTGCTATGCAAAGTGAGTTCACTGCTCTTCTTTCTAACAATACTTGGGAACCAGAGTTGGTTCTAGCTGAACCCCATATGAATATTGTTGGTTGTAAATGGGTGTTTAGAATTAAACACAATTCAGATGGTTCCATCCAAAGATTTAAAGCCAGGTTGGTTGCTAAAGGTTTTCAGCAAACTCCCGGTGTGGACTATCTTGAAACCTTTAGTCCCATGATCAAATCATCTACTATTAGGGTTATCCTTAGCTTAGCTGTTACCTATGGGTGAGATATACAGCAAGTAGATGTTAATAATGCATTCTTGAATGGAGAACTTAGTGAGACAGTGTACATGACTCAGCCTCCAGGTTTCATTGATGATAAGAACCCTTTCAATGTTTGTAAACTAATCAAGGCACTCTATGGTCTAAAACAGGCTCCAAGAGTATGGTTTGAGAAGCTCAAAACCGCCTTTATGAAATGGCGCTTTATCTCTTCGGTGGTTGATTCAAGCTTATTCATTTATAGACATCATGAGGTTGTTGTGTATGTTATTGTATATGTTGATGATATCCTATTGACAGGAAGTAACATTAAGTTGGTCCACGAAATAGTTCACAAATTGAACACTGAATTTGCCTTGAAAACATTCGGTTCTCTCAAGTACTTTTTGGGCTTTGAAGTACACAGAACTGATACATACATTCACATGAGCCAAGCAAAGTATGCAAGGGATCTACTAGTCAAAACAGGCATGATGGATGCAAAATCCTGGCCTACTCCTATGGCTCTAGGTAATAAACTGAGTTTTGGAGACAGTGAGTTGTTTGATAAACCATCACTTTATAGAAGCACAATTTTGGAGACAGTGAGTTGTTTGATAAACCATCACTTTATGGAAGCACAATTGGGGCATTGCAATATCTAACCTTGTCAAAGCCAGGCATTGCTTACTCTGTCAACAAACTTAGCCAATTTCTCAAGGCTCCTACTCAATTACACTACCATGCCTGCAAAAGGCTATTGAGATATCTCAAGGGCACTACACATTTTGGAGTTCAGTTTACTAAAATACACAGAATGCATCTTGAGTGCTTCACTGATACAGATTGGGTAGGCAGTCTACAAGATAGAAGATCCACCAATGGCTATTGCCTATTTCTTGGCTCCAATCTACTACAATGGAGTTCCAAGAAACAAAAGGTAGTATCTCTCTCCTCCAAAGAGGCAGAATAGAGGTGGAATAAATAGGCTGGGTTGGGCGGGTCAACCCTAAGTCGGCCCCCATTAAAGAGGGTTCAACTCGGACCACCAATAAGGTGGGCCGGGTTGAACCCAACCTACATGCAACCCTTGGGCGAGCCGGGTTGCCATAGGGTTGCTATTTTGTCCTTTCTGAGAAAGGGCCCGCCGGGTTGACCCGCGGGTTAGCCGAAAAAAAATTAAAAAAAAAATTAATTTGTTTTTTTGAATTCCCCTTTTTCCCTTGAAATATAGCTGTTTTATAGCAGTTAGAGTGGTATTTTTCGTTTCCCATTTTTTTTCTATAAATTGGCCCTAAACTCTCATATTTTCTCACAACTCAAATTCTCTCATTTTCTCTAATCTCTAATCTCTATTGAAGTCTCTCAATTATTCTCTTAATCTCTTTGTTATCAATTTGCTCTTATTTTAATTTTTATTAGTTTTTGCAATTTTCAATTCATATTTCCAATTTTCCATATTCCAATTCTCCTTATTTAATTTTTCATTTCTTCTACATCAATTTTTTTTTTCAACTACAATGGATAGATATTTCTCTCCCATCAATTTCAATAATGAAGGAAATTGCTATCCTAGTCCTAGTCCCGCTGAATTTACTAACATGAATGCAAGAGGAGATTCAAATAGTCCCGCTTTCTCAGTCTCAGAATCTGATACACCTCAAAATATGCCCCTGATTCCTCCCCATGCTGCTACACCTACAGCTCCCGGTGGTTCTAGAAGTCGTCCTCGTAATCGTCGTCCTCGTCCAACTTCATCTCAAGCTGAAGCGGGTTCATTAACTACTGTCGAAAGCGACGACAAACATACATCAAACGTTTGGATGCATTTCAATAAGTTTTACGAGGCAGAAAATGAAGTTCAAATGAAGAAAGCAAGATGCAAGTATTGTGGAAATGTTTATAAAGCTGATTCAGGTAATGGTACTAGTACTTTAAAAAGGCATGCTAATAAACATATTGCTCAACATGGAAATAGAGAA